AAATATGTGGTTCTCTTTCTCTATTTTACAGCTAACCAGCTTTGACTCTTTTTTAACACAACTTGGCAACTCTACATACAGGTGTTAATGTCTTATTAGTAGCATCTCCTTTAAAAATAACTTTCAAAAACTACAGTACGCTTGCTCGAATGTAAAAAACAACAACAAAAAAACAAACAAACACGATGAAAAAAAAACTGTAAAACTCAAACAACCAAGCTTTTAGCACTTTGCTCTGGCCCCGCTCAACCTCGAGTTAGAAAACTGTGCTCAGGCATAGCTGCCCTACAAAGGGGCAAAAACTACAACCGACTTTAAAAGGTCAAAGGTGACAGATGATCTTTAAATCTTATATGCTAAAGAAAAACGACAATAAAAAAAAAAAAAGATATTCTGTGATATACAGCCTATCATACTAGGACGTCCGAGGCTTACTGTTCAGGTTCATACAGTTTTTTTCTCTTTGCACGTCTAAGAGTGTTTAAAACTTCTGTCTCGTCTCTCCGTAGCACTCGGCTACTTGGTTGTAACATTCCCTCCAAAACGAAGAGTAAATAAAACAGATATGAATAAAAATATCCCTTAGCTCTGCTCGCTGGAAGTACGCCAACTTTACAGGAACTGTGAAGTTCTGGACCGATACCCAATAACCCATTCAGATATTTTTTTTCCAACTGTTAATGTTTTTTTTTATTCAATCTTTGTGCCAAAAATCATTATAAAACATAACTGCCCTCTTTTAGAGCCTTTCAGCTCTTCAGTGTCTTTTTGAACATCTTATCAATGGAAATTAATCGGACAACAAATAAACATTGATCACTGATATCTGCACCTGCTGTTACCAGTCAACAGGGTTGATATCAACCATTATTTGTATATTTTAGAGCATCCATATGAATCTATCTTGAAAATCCTGGTTCTGAAAGCCAACTCGAGCCTCTGTGCACCCAGCTGACTTCCCAAACCTCCAGATTACCAGGTCAAGCACCATCAGACAGCAGAAACTCCATCAAAAAGCTTCCCTCTAATCACGACTCCTGCACTTTGTTCTCCTGCCTGCCTCTGTGGAAAATTTAAGACATGCAGACTGTTGTGTTAAAACAACGCTGTAGGCTAACGGCTGCCTCAGTAGCTGCTTTTGGACCAAACCAGACCTACCAGTCTTTGATCTGGTTGCATTTGCACCAGTAATACAAACTCTGAAGTGATGTATTTCCCAGGCCAGTGCTTGGTAATTTCCAATCACCTCCTGTTGTGGTCTTTTCATTTCCTGTAATCCCGCTCTATCTAGTTTATCACTAGGCAGCAAGTTGAAGGGAAATGCTAGCAGGGACTATGTATTCACATCATGTTCTTTGTTTCAGAGAGGTTCGAGACAGCCTGGACTTCACTGTCAGTTCACTTCTCTGCGTTTTGGTCCATTTTTAAGTCTAATATAAGGAGCTGTTCTTTACATGCCTAACCTTTTACCACCATTTACTTTTGCTGGCCCTGCATTTGCATGTTCAGCTGCTCAAAATACACTTACATCCTGACTAATCACATTACATTTCCCTCACTGAAAGTTCCTCGAATGTTGCGGAAGAACTTAATTCCCAGGAGGACATAAAGAAAAAAAATGGAGCTCTATGAGCAACGAAGGCCCCGCAATTTGTGTAAAAGGTGGGGTACATCATCCGTTGTTCCCAAAACTAAGGTACAAAAGCAACTAGTATCTCCCAACCTATGACCCTGTGTAGGATGTTCTTATATGAAAAGGATACAAAACCTCTCTCTGCTACATAATTACACATATTATTGCTTTTTTCCAAATTCTGAATAATTCAAGGACTACGTCTAGAGTTCTCCTTTTTGATGCCACTTCTGGGACAGTCTTGATGTTTCTACAAACAATTTGGAATATATATATATTTTTTTTATCCAATTTGTGTCAGGAAAACAAAGAACTCTTCATTACAAGCTTTCAGCTTGCTATCTCATCTTTTAACATTTAGCCAGTGCAAGATTGATGGAACGACAGATAAAGATTGGCCGGTGCCATCGGGAAATGTCATCTTATTTGTGGATGGGCCAATGGCGGTCAGCAAGGCAAATATTGATACAGTGGTGCATCCAGAGCCCTTTAAACTGCCTTGTTCAAACAGTCCAAATATCCAATGATATTCAATTGAGCATCACCGAGGAAAGGACGAAAACAAGCAAATATTTACATTTGGAAGCAGAACAGAAGTGGGAACCAGTGATTCTGATGATTCAGCTGATAAACTAATTCATGCTATGGTGATCGATTGATCATGTCAGCTCTGGTTCTTGCACACAGTTTGCCATATAATGAAGATGGAGGTGATATTTTGCTTAAAGAGGTCACATGTAGAAAATAAAGTTGTGTTTCAGTGTACTGTGAAACACTGTAAACTCACACTGCCCCTTATTACGAAGCTCAAATGGTCTCACACTGTCACACCATCACACTGCAGTGCTTTAAAAGAATTCAGCCAAATCCGTTTCTGGACATTAAAGGTATTACTTAAATATTTAAAAAATTAGTGCAATTTTAACTTTGTGGGGTTAAAAAAAAAAAGGCGCTGAAAGGTCACGTCTTTATCTGGATCCCCGTCGGCGTCCACTAACTGGGTGCTCTTCTTATCAAGCCTTTTTAAGAGATTTAAGCAAATCTACCGTTTATTCATTCAAGCCCCAACCCCACCCTTCTGCAAAATGTCACGCTACATAAACAAACAAGCACCTAAGTATTTATCGTGGTGGCACAGGGCCACGGAGAGACAATCACCACATCCTCCTCCCTGTCATTAGTCTCCTCTCTCTTCCTCTCTCCTCTCACTCCTGTGTCTTTGTCTGGATTGAGGCTTTGCTCGTGTGACGGCAGAATGCCGCAATGCCTCGTCTGTCCTGGGAGATTCTTAACAAACATCTCCTCCTCAAGAAGAACAGCAGCACCGCCGCCGCCTCCCCCTCCTCCTCTTCCCCTTACTGCTCAAGTCTTAGATAATTATAATTATTTCTCACTTGGTCACTTGGTTCAACAGTCTGGTTGATATTCACCTCATGATTGGCTGCGTCTCTCATGTGGACACTCTGATTGGCTGGCCACAGCAGCCAAGGGAATATGGGGACAGATAGACCTTCCTCATCAATAGTGTGATTATTAAAAGGTGCGGTTAAAACAAAAGAAGACAGTCGGACCACGGCGTCCACGCGCGCACACATACACACACACACACACACACAGCACTGACGTGCTCGGTCAAATGTACCTACGCCCAATTAGTTTCAGATTTGCATTCGAATAGCTCATATGTATGCACACACGCATGCATGCAGCAACATATTTGGCAGCCTGTTCTCTTGTTGTTATAGACAGCTCACCCACACACACACACACACAAACACAGATTTACACACACAGACCCACACACAGAAGTGGATACAGATATACAGGAGGGGAGAGTTTGGCAGGGATTTGCATTCTGTGAAGAAAATGGAGTCGAGACAGAAATGAAGCAGTGGTCGATGGAAAATGATGGTTCACGTAATGAAGCAACAAGGGACCCACACTATTTAGCTGCTTCCTTTGTGTGTGTATGTGTGAGAGCGACCTAGGGCGGCAGCAAAGAAGAGAGAGAGAGAAATGTATACATAAAGAGGCGGCGAGACAGAAAGATGTAAACAAAGAGAATGGAAAACAGAGAGACAGGCGAGGACACGGAGAAAAGAGGGAGGGAAGAAGACGAGAGAAAAAACAATGGAGAGATGAAGAGAGGGGTGGGGAGAGGAAGAGAGGGGGGTGGGAAGTGTCAGAGTCCTGGCTGCAGTTTTGCTGCTGTCCCATGCAGGAGTACAGGATGTTTAAAAGGCAGCAGCAACTGGACATCTGGGAGGAAATTTGTAGATTAAAAATCCCCTACTGCAAAAAAATCTGAGTGTTGGAGATTTGCGTTACTTATAAGGGATTTTTATGTTTTTAAAAAAATATCCAGGAAGAGTCGAGCTGTAGTCATGACATGCAGCGTGCCCGCAACACATCTGCACGTTTGATATCATACACATATACAGACTCTGTGCTGTGTATATGTCACTCTGCAGGTGTGTGTGTGTGTGTGTGTGTGTGTGAGACAGGGGGAAAAAGAAAGGTATGCCGCTCTCGGAGGCAGACAAAAACAAACAGCCACTCATCTCAACCTCTGTGCACATACCACCCACACACCCACACCCACACACACACACACACACACACACACACACACACACACACACACACACACACACACACACACACACACACACACACACACACAC